CTCCCCATTTCTCCATCCCCCATCCCCTGGCAACCACCCTCATTTCTGCCTGTATGAATTTGACTACTTTAATCTCATGTAAGTGGAATCATACAATATTTGCCTATTCATAACTGACTTATTTCACTTAGCATAATGTCTTCAAAGTCTATCCATTGATATTACAGCATATGACAAAATTCCCTTCCTTTTTAAGGCTGAACAACATTCTAGTATGGATAGACGGATAGATAATAGATAGGCAGATAGATAGATAGATAGATAAGTCTATATATCTATATATCGCATTTTGTTTATCCATTCATCTGTCCATGGACCTTGGGTTATTTCCACCTTTTGGCTATTGTTATCCATGATATTTTAATGATGCTTTTATTTTTATTTCTATATTTAATTAATTTATTTTTGTTACAGGTATTTCTCCTTTTCCCCCCATTGACTCCCTTTTCCCTAGCCCCCCACCCCCTTAATGGTGCTTTCAAATTAGGATGGTGTGCTAGGGAGAACATTTACCCTGACTAGTGGTGCTATCTGAAATCTGTTTTCTTTTTACAAACTTAGAACACATATTTATCTTCAGGGACTTAGTATTTGAACTATTGAACCAAATGAGGCTTTATTTGAATGTTTTTCTTCCTAATTATTGAAAGCAACAAAGATTTGTTGGAATATAATCTTGACTTTAAAATTTTATTTTGCTCTTTTTTTTATTGATTGATTTTAGAGAGGTGGCAAGAGGGAGAGAGAGATAGAAACATTGATGAGAGAGAACATTGATTGGCCACCTCCTGCATGCCCCCCACTGGGGATTTGGCCCACAACCTAGGCATGTGCCCTGACTGGGAATTGAACCAGTGACCTCTTGGTGCATGAATCGCTGCTCAACCACCAAGCCACACCACTCAGGCTATTTTGCTCTTAAAACAAATTACCTTTTACTAATGTATATGAGAGAGAGAGAGACAAGAAATTGACCACATGTGTTGGACTTGATATAGAGTTGAAAAATAAATGAGCAGGTTGGATTTATAAAAATAGTAAAAACTTTTAAAAACAGATGACTACCTTTGACATATTCAGAGTATGTTTACCTCACTTATTGTCATTGAATTTGGTGGGGATTTAACTGCTGTATACTTGAGGGGTTTAGCATACAATTAAGTACCACACCAAAATTTCATAATTTTGTTGTTAGGAATGGTTAAGTAGGTTTTTTGTTGTTGTTGTTGCTGCTGTTAGGATGTATTTCCATGCATGTATAGCCTTATAATTAAGAAAATAATGTTCTTCATTATATAAATTAGTGACAACATAAATGAATTATCCTCCTATGAAATATTAGTTATTTTTCTCTTTAAATTAAATTCCATGGGAAACTTAGTCCTTTCTCTGGGCATTTATTAATTCATTAATACATGTATAGATTGTTGGATTTTGTAATCTGTAGTTATCTTTTGGTACAAAGTAAAGAAATGTTTATTTGAGATCTTACATTCAAGTCAGAGAGGCATGGCTGAGTGTGGGAGAGTGTGGAGGCTGATGGGAGAGTTACCAGATGATCCTCTTTCTTCGAGTGTGTTCATTTTCAGAAGTAGCTATGTCTGCCTTATTTTATTTCATTTTTCTCTTGTTCCTCTTAGAATCTCTAAGTTCATCTCAATAAGGGGGTGACAGGAAACAAACTCATAAAGGTCCTTAACCATGAAGCCTCCCAAAACACAAAATGTTGTCCAGCTTCCAAGAGAAAATTACATACTATTGGCCAGTTTATGATGGACTTTTTCTGTTATTTTATTTTTTTATAAATATCCTCAGAACCTGGTATTTTCATGCTATTGTGTTAATTCAGGGGACAGGTTATCAGTATAACAGTTTGAACATTCAGCCTTTTACCAGCAAGATGACAAGCAATTTATTAATCTGAGTTCAGAGATTAAAAAATAATGTATATTCTTCCATTGCTGTCTTTTATTTCTTAAGGAAAATATTTGTTGTGGCCATTATTTAAATGATTTTTGTTGTTGTTGTTCCTTTGATCCACTCTCCATTCAGGATAAGAATGGATGTAATTGAACCATGGTTTGATCAGGGTATACTTCAAGTGGCAAATGACCAGTTAATGAAATTTTCTTTTGAAATTTAATCTTTTCACTAGCTCCCTAGAAGATGGGGTTTCTAAAATATGTCACTAAAAAGTACAGTAGATTGTGTATTTATAATGCATCTCTTAGTTCATTATCCACAAGGCTTCAAGTTGTATAAGTAAGATTAGAATCCTTTTTCTACCTTTTATTTTGTATGTTCTGCAAGCTAGGCTTGTGTTTGAAATAACCAAAGATGTCTGCTTTTCCCTAGAAAAAAAAACAAAACCTTTACCTATTAACTCAGAAAAACCAAAGGATCAATACAAGCTTTTTACAGTACATGTTGCTGCACAAAGCAACAGTGTTGTTACCCTTAAAATGAATCTCAAATGCAGTCCACTCTTTGGGGGGTTACGACCCCATGGAGGGCTAACCACTTCAAAGTAACTGCTCTGCATCCACATAATCTGATCGGAAAAGTACAAAGGTTTCTAGATTTAAGCAAAATGCCTGTCTGGGATCATTACATTTGTCTTCATACTGCCTGTCACCATTTTACTATGTTTAATTTTCTCTTTCTAAACATATTTTTGGATAATTTGATTATAAAATTGTACTTACATTTTTAATGAGCTTATTTCATCATAGCATAAACCTAATTACAAGTCACACCAGGGGGCTCTTTGGCTGTGGATAGTTCTTTCATTTTACACTGGACCAATGCATGCTGGGCCATGAGCAATCTGCTAATATGCTCTTTGACTACTCAGCTATTTTTATGAGATTGTTTTACCACTTAGGATTTTAAAAGATATACAGGTGACTCATCCTGTTATTTAGTCTCACAAATGATATCTATATCTACCTATCAATCAATCAATCAATCTATCTACCTACCTACCTACCTACCTATCTTTTTTTCAAAACCCAGAATATGTGGGGATAGCGGTGCTTTTCTTTTCCTGCTTCATCTTCCACGCTCCATCGTCATTCAGCCAACGTTCCTGTGACATGCAGTTAAACTGTGCATTTGTTGAAGTTTGTCATTCACTGTGGGTAATCAGTGGATTTGCATGAGGAATCTAATTAAGTTTTTAAAATATTCCTTTATGTAGTCCTCTTCATTTCAAATCTTATTTCTATATCTTGCTTTTGCCAGTTCTTTGTTTTACATTTTTTTGCAAGTACTATCATGCTTTAACAAAATGTGCCAAAGTGTCTTTTTATGTCTTTATGGAACTGAATTTTTAAACTTCTCATTCAAAAAAACCTTGCATACTAAGATATATGGTGCTCTATTTATCTGCCTTCGAAGGATGAATGACTGAGTCAGCTTTATTTGTAGAAAAACATTTGGTCCTAAGAAGCCTAAATATTTCCAGGCAGGTGATGACTAACTTCAGGGGCTGTGCTCTGGGGAAAATGGGTTCCCTCTTTGGTCTTTAACATTTAAGTTGATTTCTGTATTATTTTAATTATTATTATTATTATTTTTAAGCAGAGTAGATTTCTTACATTCTACTGATTTAGAGGCATACATTTCATTCAGACTTGAACTTGGAGTGGTTTGATTTCACAGTCATATAACATGTCCTTTAGTATTGTGTTTTGCAAATCAGTTCTGCTCTTTAAGCTCATCTAAGTCATAGATGAGAGAAAAAAAAAACATGAATTAAATGTAACAAGATACATATTCACGAGGGAAAACAACCATAGAAGTAGAAAAGGAGGAGAAAACCCCCCAGATATATCCAATCATTCATTCAAGCTATAGTTACTGAGGGCTTTCTCTAGTTTAGTATAGGATATTTTATGATAAAGTAACTGGTATCCCCATTGACACACTCCTCCCCGTTCCCCCCACCCACCCCATCCCCAGCTTTGTTGTCTATGTCCATTGGTTATGCATAGAAATATCTTTAAATATCTTTATCATTTTGGATGGCTTTCACCAAAATATCATCTAAAAATAAGAACTCTAGCCCTGGCCAGTTTGTTCAGTGGTTAGAGCATCGGCCCATGGACCAGAGACCCAGGTTCTAAATCTGGTTCTTTGTTATAGCTAGAGCCAGACATTTTGGAATTTATGTTTTTAGTTTATTCCATAAAAAAATTATAAAATAAGCTTATTAAACTTGTATCAAACTAAGGTTTGATTAAAAGTGTATTGCATCTATAGAGTAAATTGAGGAGAACTGGTATCGTTATATTGGCTCTTCCCATCAATGAATATAAGATGTTGGATTTTTTTCAGGTTTTTCAATAAAGTTTAAATTTTTATATATTAAATCCTATAATTTTTTTGTTGGACTTAACAAGATAATATTATTATTATGATCTTAAAGATGTGGCTAAACTTTTCTACTATATAAAATTATGAAAATGTTTAGGTTGCTCTTATCTACATTGCTGAACTCCCGTATTAATTATAATCATTTGCATTTAGACTATTTCTTATTGTCTTTATTTGCAGTCATATCTAATCTGCTGCTAAAAACAGTTATTATTCCTTTTTTTGATCCTGACACCATTTATTTCTTAACCTCTGTCATACTGCACGTTATTATATAGAAGTAATGAAGTTAGGTCTGAATTTCCACTCTCTTTCCTAATGTTGGTGTCCATAAGGACAAGCGTGGATTTCGACTGACAGCTAAACAACACAGGTTCTGGTTCTATTTCCGATTTATTCTTGATTTGCTTTGATCTCGCAGTGTCTCTTTACTTTCTGTGAGTACAATAATGCAGTACCAAATGTATTTTCTCTCATCTCTAGATGTTTTAAAGCTAGATATCAATATTTCAAGGTATCTGGTCTTCAGTATTTGCAGTAATAGAGTTCTACAAAAATAATTTTGATAAAAATAATTCTTCGACAATAATTTTTTTCCCTAACAAAAATGATCTCTTCCTTAGGAACTGGTGTGCTTATGTACATACCAGATTATCTCCCACAGTGGCACTGGACAACCAAGTCACTTATGTTCCAAGTGGGAGAGGGTCTTGTGGCTGGAACAGTGGATTCTGTCCTCAGAGGTAAGTAAGGGTTCTTGAAAATAGCAATTCTTGCATCAAAATCATCTATGGCCTGAAATACATAGAGAGAATGAATCATCCCAGATACATATATATAGTAGGGTCATCCTATTAAACTAGATGTATGATCTTGAATAAGTAAAATGTAGATACTACTAATACTTACCTCATATGGGTGTTTTTAGAATATGTGAAATCATGCAGTGATATACCTATACTAGTAAGTATTCAATACATGTTCACTCCCATGCTATTTTTACTACTACTATCACTTTTATTCTATAACTTTATCAACAATCCTATCCTTTATTTCCTTATGAAATTCACACACAGATTTAAAGGTCTATCGATATTTCCCTTTCATTTGAGGTGAGAGAGAAGTCCACCGCCTGGCAGGCCACCAACTGCAATTGTGTGTAGTAAAGCAGCTAAGTGGGGCCTTTCTTTTTGTGTCTATTTTAATGACCCATGTTATTTAGTTTTCATTTTTTAAAATATCCATGTAATTGTCCTAATCTTTGGGGCTGAGTTACTGATAAGTTCTCTGAATCTATACAGTAGCTTAGCTGAGGGTATTTCAAAAGAACCTGCAATAAAAACTAAAATTGTTATTCAGGTCATGATGGCTAATGTTATGCAAATTGTCATACAAATAACTCAGGCAATGAATCTGACACATCGGCAATCTGGAACAGTGTGCAGTAAGAATACATAAAATCAAGGTGTTTCTCAGTCCCTGGAGGGATGGCTACAGTTCATGGTCCAGAGAGCTAAGCACATCTTAGGGATTTGGGAGAGCCGAGCTCCAGTTCCGCTTTCAGCATTTACTCCCTTTGTGACAATTTCCTTGCTGACATGAGATACAAAGAATGCCTGGTTAATTCTTTAGTAATGAAAATATTACCACAAAAACCTGTATTATACTCCCCTTCTGAGTTCAAGGTGAGCTTTGTTTTATCTCTTTAAGCAAACCAGAAATATGTATTTTTATTTTCAGCTCTTATCTTTTTCTCTACCTTTGAATGCATGTCTCCATTTACTCTCTACTTCGGTATGTATGCAATGTCAGTCACTTTCTCTCTCGTTCATAATGTCTGAGCAACACAGAGCAGAAATCCAGTTTGCCAAAGCAGGAACATTGACGGTAATGCAGCTAATAATGGCTTGAGTTCACCCTTATAAACTGAAAGAGTCCTTTTCCCAACTGTCTTATTTCCTATTTAGCTTTAGCTACCAGATTAGAAGTTATATTTCACTGGATAAAGTTATTTGCTGAATATAATTCACTGAAATAAACAGAAATAAATGATTGGCCTACTTTTAGAGATGGAAGGAATCTTCGAGCTCATCTTAACATGGAGAAATAACCTCATTTAGAAAGACCCATCAAGTTACAGCAGAAACTAACCCAAGTCTCCGAAAGCAAAGCCCAGTCTGCTGCAATGCATTTCCTGCACCTAGTAAATAAAGGGTTTATTCATGAAATTGACTACAGTGTCTCCAAGCAGTTGTATAAGACAAACTCTAGATCATACTGCAGAGGCTAACCCACACAGCATGGATTAAAACCCTGCTTGATCACTTTTAGATATAGGACTTTGGGCACATTATTTCATCTCTCTGTTACTCAGCTTCTTCATAAGCAAATCAGGATAATAATAAGACTTTCCTTATAGAACTCATATTAGAATTAATCAAAATAATATATGCCCATTTGATAAATATTAGCTAAATATTGAAGTCATAAGGATAAAAATAATATAGCCAAATTGTATTTATGATTTTCATTTACACACACAGAGCATGCAAGTGTGTATCATTCACTCTTTATATTGATTATTGAAATGCCATCGTTTCTTGATTTTCCTTTCATGGTTTCTTCTCAGAAATATTTTCTCATGTTAGATTTCTCTCTCTCAAGGAAATACTATATAAAAGAAATAATATATAGTATGATTTAAAAAGTTGAGAAATGAGAAAGTTCAGGTTGAAAATCATAGTGATTATCATAATTTCAATTAAATCACTAATGTCCAATTTGTTGTAAGTTGTTTAATATTGATCAGGAGTAAAAAGAATCCTTTTAACTATAATAATATAAGAAATAACGAGAATTGACATAAAATAAATTATCCCCATAAACTACTTAAAAATTGAAATTAAAATAACTTTTAACATTGGTTTAGTGATAAGCATTCTCAAAGGAAAAGCTATAGTAGCTTTAGAAGTGTAATGATAAGTATAAATTAAAAATACCAAATAGTATGACATTTAGTACATTTTGTAATGTGTTTTAAGAAATGTTTGTCAATAATATTAATGATAAATATAATAATAATAGTAATGATAATATCAACAGACAGCACTTATAAAATGCGTATTATATTTCAGAAATCATCCTAAACACTTTACATTAATTATTCCAACTGAGAATTTAATGTGAGACAAAATAATCCATTTATTTGCTTTCCTCTCTAGATCTCAGAGGATATCAAAGCCTGTCTACAGGATGCAACATAAAATTGTTACCTCATTGGAGTGGAAGTGCTGTCCTGGGTTCAGTGGAGTGAAATGTCAGCTCAAAGGTATAGTCTAATGCTAATTTTGTAACAATTAGAAGCATAAAACTCCTGAAGAATAGACAACTGATTCCAGTAAAGAGAAGAGTTGCATTTTCCCTTTTGACCCAGTTAATTAATGTGTAACCAAACTATTAGGACTGTTACCTTTCAGATCTTCCTAACTTGGTAGCATTGTAGTACCCTAAAATCTCATGAGCCATCCTTTGAATTCTCCCCTCATTTTTATGTTGGTTTTACATGATGGTTAAGTGGAGATGTGCTGTAGAAGCATGCCTGATTAAAATACTAGAAATCTCAATTTTTAAATAAATTTTCATAAGCCATGATTCTATGTAAAAATATTTTTAAAACTACCCTCTATTTTTATTTCAGTTTAATGATTTGAAATAACATTGTGTTTATAAATAAAATTCCATTTTAAAGAATATATACAAGTATGGCATGAATTATTCTGCTCTTTAAAGAATCCTAATGAAACCATTTTTTCAACTGAGATTTGAAGGATTTTCTGGTGGCGGGCTGATCAGACACACAGCAGCCGCTACGGCCTAACATCCATGTAACCATTATTTTGCTTATGGCTTTAAACAGGTTTCCTTTGCAAAATAAGATATGGCACCAGCATACATATTTTAAATGAATGAATATCACAAGAAAGACCATTAGCAGTGGTGGGGAATTCAATCAGCAGTGTAGGAGACTGTGATTAAAAATTAATGTAAGGGTGGAGAAACCATTATGTTTCATTTTTTTTTTTAAGTTGTAATATGAAAGCTATAAGAATCCTTCAGTTTAGTTAGAGATATTACACATGGTTCTTCTAGCCCAATTCAATGAAAATCTAAATTTAAATTTCATTGTAATGCTATTTGCTCTGGGTTTAGCCTGACTTTCAGAGATGCAAAAAATAAATAAATAAATAAATAAATAAATAAATAAATAATACATTTTCAGAATATAGCATGAATATGTACTTCATTTATAATCAGGTAAAATAAGCTTTTAAACAAAATATCTATACCAAAAATATTTGGAAACAACACAATTGGGGATATTCTTTAAAAATCCAAGTTTGATACTGTTTTCAAAGGACTTTAGACTTCCATGAGGTACACAGATATGCTCACTGTGGTAAAATGTTTTTGTTTACAGATGGTAGATGGTTAAACATTTTGGGCAGTATTTAGAATTATATTTCTAAAGGCTAAGATTAGTTTTTATATTTTTCTTATATAAAAAAGGATTTATTAGGAATATTAATTCTATTATTATTTCTTAAAGATTCAAGTGTTTGTTCAGATCATGCGTTTTTAGAAGTTTAGAATGTCATACCCACCTTGTTGTACGTAAGGGGCTGAAGGTAGATACGTGGCAGGAAGCAGTGTCTGTACAACAATGTCATGGGCTCTGGCTGAGAAGGACTGCTGTTGCTCTAGGCTTTGTTTTTTTATGGCTACTACAGTTGACCCTTGGACAATGGAGGGCTTAAGGGTGCTAACACCTTGCACAGTCAAAACTCCACTTAATGTAACTTTTGACTCCCACTGTGGATTGGTCACAGGACTCCCACAGAGATACCCAAATCCACAGATGCTCAAGTCACTTATATAAAATGGAGTATAAAGCCCAGCTGGTGTGGCTCCATGGATTGAGATTTGTCCCATGGACTGAGAGGTCCTGGTTTGATTCCCAGTCAGGGCACATGCTTGGGTTGCAGGCTTGATCCCCAGTAGGGGGTATGCAGAAGGCAGCGATTGATGTTTCTCTCTCACATCAATGTTTCTATCTCTCTCCTTTCCTCTCTCTCTCTAAAAAAATCAATAAAAATATATAAAAAATAAAATAAAATGGAGTATTACAATGCATACGTGGGCCCTCAGCATCTGCGGATACCAAACCACCAATGGAAAATACTGTTTTCCATTTGGGTTGGTGGGATCTGCTGATGCAAAACCTTGGGATACAGAGGGCCAGCTGTTTGTTTATTGGAAAAAATCCACTCATGCATGGACCTACAAAATTCAAACTCATATTGTGCAAGGGTCAATTCTAAGCAATTGTTAATACACCTAGGAGGGAAAAGAACCATAGAATTTTATTAGAATAAATGTACACACAAGAAACAAGGCTAATTGATAGTTTTCACTATCTACTATGCATTGTCATTCCCTTTTTCTCAAAGTGTTATATGAAATATTTGCAATAAATTCAAATAGTCTAGTTTTGAATGTTTAATGACATCTTGTGTTCTAAGCGGAAACAAACTGTAGATATCTTTAATACTATACTTACAAATTGTTACCTTGAATCCCATTAACAAGAATGTCCCAGAACCATTTTGACTGTGACCTTCTATCACAATACTATAATCAGAATTACTCATAATATAGGTATCTGCTGATTAAGCTGCTGTAGAAAAAAGTCTTCTTTCAATTGAAATTTATAATAGGAATAATTTTCAGATGTCAGATACACCCATTGTATGACAATGTCAGACAATTAATTCTAATATCACTGAAATTCCCAAAGGACCTGCTGTTTGCTCCCTATAATATTCCGACCATCCTTCTCCTCAGTTTTATTGCAGCACAAGCTGTTGAATTTTTTATTAGTGCAATTGATGCACTGGTAGTATCAAGAACTACTGCGTCCCTTTGTCCCTTCAACCATTCTTCATTATCTCATCTATCCTGGGGTGTTATTTATTTTGCACATTTTTTCCTTCTGATTCTTATCCAATTACATGTCAAGCCCCCCCCCCCCCCCTTTTATCACACTTTATATATGTGCCAAAAGTCTTTTATTCTTATATGGGAGAGAAAATTGTCAGGTTTCCTTTGACAACACTCCTCTGCTGTCTCATATGACAAGCCGTCCCACGTATGAAAAAAATAATCAGTGTGGCTGATCTGTTCTTTAAACCTTGTCAGAGCCCTCAAGGGTTTGGAATAACATGGTTGTGTAACTACTATGAGAATTACTTCTGTGCTAGTCCTTCACGTCAGTAAATCATTTTATTCACAAAAAATGTGTAAAATACTACATACATTTTATAAACCCCTGCTTTCCCAACAAGTTTCCTCCTCATCCACAAAATAAATTTTATAAAACAAAAATAACTTTCCTTAAATGTATATTACAGTAGGAAGATCTTTTTAATTATATAATAGAGATGAATAGATCCAGAAAATAGCTAGCAACTATACTCTTTTATTTTTCCTCCTTCACTTTTCTACCCTTCTGTCTTTTTTTTTTTTTTTTTTTTTTATCCTTTTATCTCTATAGATCTATCCCAACCTGTTAGGAAGGAATGTCATGATTCTAAATTCTGGGAAAACTCTTCTCATTGGCTTATTGGCCATTGCTCTACCACTGAGCCAAATGGGCCAGGGCTAAACTGTGTCATATTTGATGCATACAAAAATAGATGTATTATCAAATATATTTTATCATATACATATATACCACTAAACAATATATCATTAATTTTACTTTTTAGCTCTATATATACATATATATATATATATATAGCATCATACTATATTTCTTTCTTTTTTTTCTTTATTGATTTTAGAAAGAGAGGAAGGGAGAGGGAGAGAGAGATAGAAACATTGATGAGAGAGAATATCAATTGGCTGCCTCCTGCACGCCCCACACTGGGGATTTGGCCCACAACCTGGGCATGTGTCCTGACCGGGAATTAAACCTGCGGCCTCTTGGTGCGTGGGTCGATGCTCCACTGCTGAGCCACACCAGCTGGACTCTTCCTGTGTCTTATTCTATAATACACTGTTTATAATACTACTGAGGCTCCACAAATGCTTTTTTTTTTTATACAACTCAGATAGACAAAATCCTGGTAATAAGTTCTAGATTAGTTTATCAAAAATATTAATCGTACTTTCAAGAAGAAACCAATTGTTAAAAAGTCTAAATGAATAGAACTTTGTTGGGAAAAAAAAGGAGGAGCGTCAAATCTAAGGCAATGTTATAGTTTTGATATATTTTACATCTGTTATGCCTTTTTGAGGATCAAAAAGTTTCTCCAAAAGAAAGGATCTATCTAATTTTTATATGATACCTGAGATGCTTTTAGGAGATGTCAGTAACAAATTTTTTAAACCAATTTTATAAAATTTGCACTAATATTTTTTCCCAGTAGATGTCTCTAAAATGTTCTGAAATAGAACAGGAAAATTGTGGCTTTCTGTAATGACACAAGGAACAGAAATTTAAGTTGAAATAATGTTAGATTAGAAAAGAGAAAAGAACAATGTCTTAGCAACCTGTCAAAATAATCTGATTAGCTTTGGTCAGATACTCTACATAAGAAAAGGGTAAAAAAATAAAAAGAAAAAAGTTATTTTGTAAAATTATACTTAAATAATAATAATAATAAAAATGGCAGTGGAATTAATGGAAGCTACACAGACAATCTCCCATGACCAAACTGGAATTACAACTAAAATAAAGACAAATCATAAAAAAAAGGCAACAGAAAAGCAGCTGAAGAGGACCATATAACCAGGGATACTGGTAGGTCTGTGGAGGTACGAGAGGGTGGTGGGCAGGGAGCCTACAGACAGCAGCAGTCTTAGCTGTGAGTTCTGCCCTCAGGGTGAAAATCCCAAGTTAGCTCCACAATGCAGAGGGCCAGAACAGAACATTAAATAAGCCACAGCCACTCAACGTTGGGCTCCAGCAGAGAGGGAGGGCAGACTGGACTGGAATTCTGTGGGGACACCTAGGATTTGGAGGACGCTCAGAGTTTTTGCTGAGATGTGGCCATACAGGACGGTGGCCAGCTTACTCCTTTCCGGAGCTGTGGGGAGAAGCAGCAACCCCTCCCTTGGAGATTCGACCCCACCCAGGTGAGCCAAAGAAATAAAAATTGAGGCTCATTAACAACCAGCAGCCACCCAAACCCCTGGAAATCCTCTTATGCTGAACACCTGAGGGAGTTTTTCATTTAACTAAGAACCCAAAGCTCTTCAAGTAACCAT